ATCAAGCTTATTTACTTCAAAGTAACTCCTGGGTCAGCAGCATTGAGATTCACTGTCTATTTCAGGTCTATTTCCCCCATGATTGTCTTTTTGTAATTGTTTGTTAGTGATCATTAAAAAAAATGCTTGTTTTTTTTTTACCTTTGACTTAACTGAATCGCTGGTGGTGAAATCTGTAGAAGAGAAAGACGGGGAACAGAAGGAAAGGCAGCTAGGTTAGCGTTTCATCTTCAGTGGACCAATCAGAGGCAGCGTTGGTAGCATGTGAGGTAACATGTAGTTTGGGAATCACTGGCTATTCAAGGCACAAATGAAATGGTGAAGCAACTTTAAAGAGGAACACCAGCCATAAATGCTTTATCCCTTGCACTTGTCTTGCCAGAAGCAAGAGCAGCATTACAGTAATGGTCTGTGTTTTTATGGACGTGTCTTTGGTGAAATCAGCTCACTTAAACCACAGTTTCAATACACACAAATTGTCGTTCCTTTCGTTTCATTTTTTCCCTTTGGAAAATGTGCATATCAACCATAACAAAACCAGTCTTTAATTACCCTAATTATTGTTCTTCAGATACCAAACCCTAATGCATCATGGGAGGATGCTTGTCGTGATCTTCCAAAAGCAATTTGAGCTAAGCATGATTTTAGCAAAAATGGCTAATGCGTCCCCTTTATTATGACAAAAACATTAATATTATTATGACAAAAACATTATTATTATGACAAAAACATTAGGCAGACAAAATGCTGGTGAAACACAAAAACCAAAAGCCAACGAAGTCAATGAGTGAATGGACCCAAGTGCTTTAAACACACACACACACACACACGTAGACCTGGCCTACCGCAGAAGTTGATCCAGAGTTTCAGCTACGGAGAAGAGAGCAGAAACGATCAGAGCGAGGAAGTAAGAAGAAAAGTTTGAAATGTGATACAGACGTGTCTACAAATATAAACCCAGCACAGGAGACGCAGAGAGAGCAAGCACACATCACTCAGTAAATACTGAAATATTGTATATATTATATATATACAATATAATATAATATATATTAATTAATATATATATTATATATATACAATAGTTTAGTAGTTTATGCAGGGGATAGCTGGGCCAGAGTCAGATCATTTCTACCACGCAGCTCGACGAGAGCCGGCCGACCGGTCGAACCAGGCAGTCAACATGAAGCACAGAAAGACATTCGACGGGTTTTTCCACTGACGCTGTGCCAAGTGCTGTTTGTGTCTGTGTTGTTGTTGACCGTGTGCTAGATGTGTTGTTTGTCTCCCAACTGTCATGTGTACCTGGGGGCGTCATTTTATTATAATATCCTTATATATATACATAACTTATATTGTCTTATATTTACACATAATGTGTATGCTTATATTGATAAATAGGTTATATTATCTTCTATTCATACATAGTTTATATTATCTTCTATTCATGCATAGTTTATATTATCTTCTATTTCTACCTAGGTTATAATATCCTAACTATTGTATATCAGTATGCTGAACAGATTGGCTTGTAAAGCTGTAGTAAACAGCATTAGTCATGTATTTAGACGCCCAGTGCACCAGGTGTGATGGAAACGCATATTAGAAAAAAAGAAGGGGGTAATCAATACATAACTTGTATATCCGCTGAAAACTAACAATGATCATGACGCAGTTATCAGCAAAACCTCTTCCTGTATCAAACTCGTCCACATCACCACAACACAACACTATGGCGGTGAGAAGACGATTCCAAGACGCAAGGTTCAGTTTTAGCAGTAGTTCAATATGACGCTACCACCGTCCAATAAGGAAATTCACTGGAAAACAATGGTGAACTCTGCCCAGCAACAGTGATGAGGCTTTGGAAGAGGCTGTCTGTAATTGGCCGAAACATCACACGGTTGTAATATTTCCTTATTTTCTTCAAAACATTACGTTTAATGAGTGAAGGTCACAGGACTGGCAGGAAGTAAAGGCCCCGATAAACTTAAAAGAAAAACAAATCAAACACGCGCGCACACACACACACATTATATAACATGCTAACTGTATGACGGGGGGGGGGGGGGAGGGCGGTCCTTCCTGTCTCACCTGACTCTCCAGGCATGCCGGCCCGGCCGATGTTGGACAGCAGGTGGTCGATGTTCGGCACGGGCTGACTGTCACACTTGTCCTCCGGAGCCTTAACACACACATACACACACACACACACACACACACACACACACCACACAGACACGAACGCACACACACACAAACACATGGTCTAAACATGGTCACCTTTCCAGAGCAGTGTGTGTCTCTAGTGCATCAGCAGAGCAGTGTGTGTCTGTAGTCTCTCTCTCTCTCTCTCTCTCTCTCTCTCTCTCTCTCTCTCTATATATATATATATATAATATTAAGCTATGATATTGTCTTTCTGGCGTACCTCGTCTTCCTTATCCAGCTGTCCATCATCAAAGAACCAGTCATGCTGCAGAGAGAAACACAAAACATTATGATGCTGTACAGTAGGATGATCAGGTCATGTAGAGATGATCAGGTCATGTAGAGATGGTTCAGGTCATGTAGAGATGGTTCAGGTCATGTAGAGATGGTTCAGGTCATGCAGAGATGGATCAGGTCATGTAGAGATGGTTCAGGTCATGTAGAGATGGTTCAGGTCATGTAGAGATGGGTCAGGTCATGTAGAGATGGGTCAGGTCATGTAGAGAGGATCAGGTCATGTAGAGATGGTTCAGGTCATGTAGAGATGGTTCAGGTCATGTAGAGATGGTTCAGGTCATGTAGAGATGGATCAGGTCATGTAGAGATGGTTCAGGTCATGCAGAGATGGTTCAGGTCATGTAGAGATGGTTCAGGTCATGTAGAGATGGATCAGGTCATGTAGAGATGGTTCAGGTCATGTAGAGATGATCAGGTCATGTGGAGATGGTTGTAGTACTTCCTTATATTCGAAAATAGCAGAGCGTGACACTTTCCCTTTAAAGGGCCCCTATTTTACCACCAGGTGTGATGTTGATTAGCCATTACAAGCCAGTCTATCCTCTAGTGACATCACAAATGGGAGTGTCCACCCAGATGTATGATAGATCAGCCTACCAGTTGGTACAGTCCACTGGGTAGACTGGTAGATTGATCTGGTCAGTAAATAGAGGCCTTTTAAAGGACCGTCTACATGTCCAAGCCTATTGGGTTCTCACGTGCAGGATGAGCGTCTCCACGATCTTGTAGCGGTCGGGCATGTGAGTGACCATGTCCGTCATGTTGTCCTCCGACGTCCTGACCAGCGTGGGACCGAACACCAGAGCCAGGTTCCTGGGCTCCATCTGGACCGCAGACACAGCACTCGTTTAGCCACATGTTGGACTAATATATTCAATACAAGCAATCTAAATGTAATCAGGAAAGACGAAAAGCTGTATGTCTGTCTCCATAGTGGACGTTGTCCATTGAACAAAAGGCAGATAGTAAAACCTGTCTGTGACAGGAAGTAGACCTGTCTGTAAGGAGGGAACTCCACTCAGATGACGAAGACTCACCTTGTTCTTATCTGCGTTATCAGCGACCTTCTTAAGATGGCCGACCAGGTAGCTGAGCGTGTGGTGGTAGTAATCTGGGAGCTCTTGGATCTGAGGAGGGAGGGAGGAGGAGAGGGAGGGAGGAAAGGGAGGGAGAGAGGAGAGGGACGGAGGGAGGACAGGGAGGGAGGAGGACAGGGAGGGAGGAGGACAGGGACAGAGGGAGGACATGGAGCAAGGGAGGTGACAGGGAGGGAGGAGGACAGGGAGGGAGGAGGACAGGGAGGGAGGGAGGAGAGGAGGGATTGCATAATTTTGAATTAGAAAATTATAGTTGACACATTTTTTGATGCTCTCAAATGCTCAAGTTTTTCTTGCATGCAATAAAATGGCGTGCAGTACAGACAATTATATAGTATAGTATATACATTACATGTACAAACATACATATAGAATAGCATATATTATATTATTATTATACATACTATAGTATAGTATATATATATATTACATGCACAGACATACATATAGTATAGTATATATTATATTATTATTATACATACATACAGTATAGTATATATACAGTATTACATGTACATACATCCATATAGTATAGCATATATTATATTATCATACATCCGTATAGTATAGTATATATATATTACACGTACAGACATACATATAATATAGTATATATTACATATACATTACATATATTTAGGTGAATATTTACCAGTTTCTTCATGGTTTTTAACCTGTCTGCCGCGTCCTCAATCCGGTTTGCATCGATGAAGTCATTATACTTCTCTACACATGGACAGACAAAGAATATACACATAATGATTACAAATTCTGTCCCATTTGATGGTGATTATTGATCATCTATTAACTTAATTTAATGTCATCAGCGTCGTTCATAGTAGCGTTTAAACTTGCCGTCCGTGAAAACAGGTTCCGGTAGTTTCCGGAAGAAGGACTTGAGAAGGCTGCTGATTACGTTCAAGTCTTGCCATCTCTGTAGAGGAGAAACAGGAAATTCAGTTTCTAGAAGTTACAGTTAAAGAGTAATTGTGTTTCGTCACTGTTCCCCGCATGCCGCCATGTTTCCCCGCATGCGTCTGAAGCCACGCTCTCTTATTATATTCGGAAAGCGCCAGGCGTGACCATGCCCACCTCCTCGGCGGTGTTGATCTCCAGGCCCTTGTTCAGGTGCTCCTGCAGGTTGGACACCATGGCGTTGTTGCCCGGCACCCGGTAGATCCCGGTGTACTCCAGACCGGACGTCTCCACCACCCCGCAGCACATCTCCACGATCAGAGGAACGAACTGCAGCAGGACGACACGTGAAGGAGGAGGTCACGCGTGAAGGAGGAGGTCACGCGTGAAGGAGGAGGGTCATACACACATTCGTACAACGACGGCGGTGTCAGCCATGCAAGGCGGGAGCAGCTAGGGTGAGGTGCCTCAACACTTAGCTAGGAGGAGCCGGGGATTGAACCAGCGACCTTCCGGTTACCAGAAAACACACTCTACCTGCTGAGCTACTACCACCAAAAGGCTTTACTGTAACACTTTATCGTTCACAGGTTATGTCGAAACGTTGCGCGTATAACAGAGTATAACAGAAGTGTACCTTGTGGTTCAGAGCAGGCTGACAGTCCTCCAGTCTGATGCCAAACGCTTTGGGAGTTCCTGTCTTCTTGGTCTTCTTCATGATGTTGATGCCCCACATGGCCTTGCTGTCATCTGAACATATGAAACACATCGCTTGCTGTTGAACACCAAGTCCCACAAGTCATGTCTGCCCTAATAAGGGTTTAACGGTGACTAATTTACTTGGGCTATTTCAAATGATATATAGATTATTAACCTGTTACAGAAAGTTACACAAAACAACACTTGGCAGGTCTACATGAATTCTGTTTGTTGGTGAATGTCGTTACCGTAGTTACACTTTGACCCACCGGCCTTGGTGGAGCGGTTCACCGAGGCGTTGTCTGTCTTCGCCAGGAGGAACGGCGGCATCATGCGGTGAGCCCTGGGGGAGGAGTCTGGCTTGCTGACCGCGGGACTGGAAAACACAACGAACCGCATCGCAAGGACGCAAGAATAAGGGAGGATCGAGGTGCAGTTCAAGATCGGTCATCTGACTGTTATTTGAGTGTAATTTGTTAGAAATGCCACAGCCATCCGTCAGCTTTAGTGAGTCAAATGCTCTGTGAGGATATCTGCTCTGGTCGGCTGTGGGTCATTTAACTGAACACTGAATAATTCAACCCACCTCTGTTTCCTGTAGTCGTTCAACTTCTTGTTGATGAGTGCCTGCCGTGAAACACCCAGCTCCTGAAACATAATTACATCTCTTATTAGATGTGTCCAAATTCACAACCATACACTCCTATTTCCTATTTCCTGTAACTGACTCATGAATGTAACTGACTCATGAATATAATGTAACTGACATATGATTATAATGTAACTGACTTATGAATATAACATAACAGACTCATGATTATAATGTAACTGACTTATGAATATAACATAACAGACTCATGATTATAATGTAACTGACTTATGAATATAATGTAACTGACATATGATTATAATGTAACTGACTCATGATTATAATGTAACTGACATATAATTCTAATGTAACTGACTCATGATTATAATGTAACTGACATATAATTATAATGTAACTGACTCATGATTATAATGTAACTGACATATAATTATAATGTAACTGACTCATGAATATAATGTAACAGACTCATGATTATAATGTAACTGACTCATGATTATAATGTAACTGAATTATGAATATAATGTAACTGACTCCATAATGTAACTGACTTATGAATATAATGTTACTGACTCCATAATGTAACTGACTTATGAATATAATGTTACTGACTCCATAATGTAACTGACTTATGAATATAATGTAACTGATTTATGATTATAATGTTACTGACTCATGATTATAATGTAACTGACTTATGAATATAATGTAACTGATTTATGATTATAATGTTACTGACTCCATAATGTAACTGACATGAAAATAATGTAACTGACTTATGATTATAATGTTACTGACTTATTAATATAATGTAACTGACATGAATATAATGTAACTGACTCGATTATAATGTTACTGACTTATTAATATAATGTAACTGACATGAATATAATGTAACTGACTTATGATTATAATGTTACTGACTCCATAATGTACCTGACATGAATATAATGTAACTGACTTATGATTATAATGTCACCGACTCCATAATGTCACCGACTCCATGGCGACAGAACCCACCTCGCTGTTCTCCCTGACGACGCGTATCCAGGCCAGCATGTCGTCGCGGTCCTCCGCCTGCAGCAGGTACTCACAGAAGTCCTGGGTGGTGAGGCGCAGCGTGTGCTTCCTCTTGGTCTCGCTGTAGGCGATGTCCACCAGGCAGCCCAGGACGCAGATGGGAGGCTGGTGGTCCTGGCTGGGCGCTCCCGCCCCGTGGAGGACCGCCTCCCGCTTGTCCTTGTAGAGGAACAGCGAATGGGAGCGCAGGACGGAGAAAACACGCTTCCACGGTCGCATGCTGCCGCCCAGCTTCTACCCGAGGCAAACACACAAGGGGGACACAACTTAACGGCTTGTTGTTTAGGATTTATTTTAGTTCAGCTTTATTTGTCCGGGTGTACAAAACACACTGGGATGTAAAATCTCTTTCTCAAGAGTGACAGCACACCTGGCAGCACAGCACAACCGCTCCACTAACATTAACATTTAGTTATACTCAATGCACAAAATCCAACAAGCAAAAAAACCACAACATGATGGTAGCTGCTCTCTAGCTAACCTAACTAACCTTGTTGTGCTAGGTTAGTGATGGCGGCTCTCTAGCTAACCTAACTAACCTTGTTGTGCTAGGTTAGTGATGGCGGCTCTCTAGCCTTCTGACAGACCAGGGATCTGGGTCAGTGGTATTGTTATGTAAGGATTATGGTGAGTGCTTGGCCCAAAAAGTTTTTAAAACCCTAATCTCTTGAATATGATTGGACGTTGATACAAGACAGCGGATGCGTAGGTCGATCAATGAAAAGTTTATGTCAATCAGCAGATAGGCCGACGGGCCTATAAGAGGGCCAATAGGCCTATAAGAGGGCCAATAGGCCTATAAGAGGGCCGACGGGCCTATAAGAGGGCCAGTAGGCCAATAAGAGGGCCAATAGGCCTATAAGAGGGCCAATAGGCCAATAAGAGGGCCAATGGGCCTAAAAGAGGGCAGATGGGCCTATAAGAGAGCCAATGGGCCTATAAGAGGGCCGATGGGCCCTCAGTTGCGTTCTCCATTGGTCCGTTTTGGAAAAAGTAGGTAAATGGTCCAACTTCCCTGTGATTTTTTGGTGGAAATGGAAGTTGTTACTGCAGTCTATTTCACAACACGTACGAAGCAGTTCTCTCATCTATTAGAAAATAGCAGAGTGTGGCGGTTCCTTAAAAGGAGCAGAATATGGACAGCCTTACTTTGCCCTTCTCTGTGAGGATCTGCTTGGACTGCAGCCAGCCCTCCTTGCGGATGTTGCTGAAGGTGATGGTCCCAAGCTCAGAGGTGGAGTGACGTTTCGACCTGGCCTCTTCTTGGGCTCGCAACGTCTCCAGAGACTACCACACAGTAACAGTAATGACATGTCAGACCGCCACACAGTAACAGTAATGACATGTCAGACCACCACACAGTAACAGTATGTCACACCTCCAGTGACAGACATGTCACTGGAGGTGTGAGTGCAAAAGGCAGACTAAATCAAACACAGAATAAACTAGATATATACCATCAATAATGAAAGTGAAAAACATAATATCACAAACTTACGCCGTCTGTGAAGAAGCTCTTGACTCTCTTTGGTAGTCTCCTGATGAACAGAAAGCACAGCATGGAGGAATGTCATTATTAGGATGAACTCAACGCAGAGAAATAGTTGTAATAATAATATCCCCACAAAGTGCAGTCATCACTCGGGTCTAAACTTACGAGAAGACGCGTCCCTCGTCCCGGAACGTGTTCAGGCCTTCATCACATGACTTGGACCGCTCAGTGGTGACAGCCAGCAGGTAGGACGACCGGCGACCCTTCATACCGCCTGAAGAAAACCACACACACGGACCACAACACTAAACACTAGTCCAATATGCATTATGGGACTCCTTAGACAATAAGTCTCATATGATAGCAAACAATAAAATAAATTCTTATATTTTATCACTTACTTATTATGGGACTCCTTAGACAATAAGACCAGTAATGAAGCAAGGCCAAATACCCTGGCCAAATAACTATTCAAAGTACTCATATGATAGCAAACAATAAAATAAATGCTCATATTTTTATCGATTACTTTTTTTAAATAAAGTAACTAAAGTAAATGTATCCATGTATCTTTTATGGAAGGATAAGGGGGAGAAGACAGAAGTGCGAAGGGGGAAACAGAAAAGATCAACATGGGCCCCCACAGAGTCTGGCTGTACATTAAAACATCTCTGGTATGATGTGTCTGGGATGCTACACCATAAGGGCTTGCTACATGCGTGGCCGCTTTACATTAGGCACCCAAACTAAACTAAAAGCTCTTTCTGCAAAGCAGGATGTGTGTTTTGGCACTCAGTGTCGCGTTCAGTACAGTCAAATGTTTCTTCGGTTTTCCACACTACATGTTTCTGTAATGCCTTAATTCTTTATTAATGTTGTTTGGTTAAAGGGACGCTGATATTGCGTAATTGTGAATGCAAAAAACAGCCTAGCAGGAGCAGCATGTTCAGGGGTGTGTGAGGGGCAGGAGCAGCATGTTCAGGGGTGTGTGAGGGGCAGGAGCAGCGTGTTGCAGGGGTGTGTGAGGGGCAGGAGCAGCGTGTTGCAGGGGTGTGTGAGGGGCAGGAGCAGCGTGTTGCGGGGGTGTGTGAGGGGCAGGAGCAGCGTGTTGCAGGGGTGTGTGAGGGGCAGGAGCAGCGTGTTGCAGGGGTGTGTGAGGGGCAGGAGCAGCGTGTTCAGGGGTGTGTGAGGAGCAGGAGCAGCGTGTTGGGGGGTGTGTGAGGGGCAGGAGCAGCGTGTTCAGGGGTGTGTGAGGAGCAGGAGCAGCGTGTTGCGGGGGTGTATGAGGGGCAGGAGCAGCGTGTTGCAGGGGTGTGTGAGGGGCAGGAGCAGCGTGTTCAGGGGTGTGTGAGGGGCAGGAGCAGCGTGTTGCAGGGTGTGTGAGGGGCAGGAGCAGTGTGTGAGGGTGTGTGTGAGGGGCAGGAGCAGCGTGTTGCAGGGTGTGTGAGGGGCAGGAGCAGCGTGTTCAGGGGTGTGTGAGGGGCAGGAGTGGAGAAGGGTTAGGGGGGTCACACTCACTGCGGTCCTGAGATCGAAGACGCACAAAGGGGGCGGTGGCAGAATGGGGCAGGGTAGGGGTGACAGTGTTAGGAGTGAGGACAGTGGAGGCCAGGGGATCGGGGACAGACACCACAGAGCAGGCCGAGATGGGCCGGGCCTGCAGGTCCACACTGGGACT